CTCAAACTGCTGAAACAGTTAATGCTGGTTCTGATAGAAAGGGGTCAGAACACACAGTGCAGAGCAGTCTGTTGGTATGAGGCTGCCCAGGTGGTCACAATGTTATGGCTGATCGTGTATGAAATGGGTCAGTTGTTTGCTTGTGTTGTCTTGTGTGGTACAAAGAAAAGTGTACAGGGTTGAAATTCTTGGGTGTCAGCCATACAGTGTAATTCAGAGTATTAATTATCCGTTGTCCAACTATGACCATTCCTTCTGTTCCTGTTGTGAGTGGTGTCACAGTTTGAAAGACTAAGGCATTGTGGGATGGTACTTGGTGTTGAGGGCTGATCAGGGCTAAAGTGGACCACTCAGACACCTGGAGAAAAGCATTTGAGAGGCACTTGGATTCCAGCATCTGCTCACAAGCACACACAATCAAGCCACCAAGAGGAAAAGTACATCTGAAGAGTCCCTTTTAGGGAATTCAACCAATGGAGCTACGTGGGAATCTGTGTGAATCCAGGTATCTGCGTGTACATGATCCCTCAATTACATGTGCGTGTGCATGAGCTCACCTCATCGTGCTGAAAGCAAGGATGCCAAAGAACAGTGTATGCAACAGATTATAGGCCACGTCTGGGCGAAAAGCCACCACTCGCACCTCTCCAGCTCCTTTCCTCTCCTCAGCTGAACCTCCTTTAGGTCTGCTGAAAAACAAAAAAGGCAGCGAGACAAAAGACAACAGTGATACATAAAACATTACAGCCAGACGCTTGAGAAGAGAGGCAGAAGGGTTGGTGGGTGGAATTGATATTATTCAGATTATTCAGATTTCAGTAGCTGTTATTCAGATTTCATTAGCTGTGTGCGAGCAAGCGGACACGCAATGATGCACACCCACGACCGTTTCTGTCTGCAGGAGTCAGCACACAGAGAAACAGAGAGAGGCCCGAGGGCAATGATGTCACTCCCACGATTTGGCCTCCCGCACCGAACGAGATGGACGCTGGCTTCCATTTGAATACAAATCCAATCTGGCTTTTCCTTCTACGTGAGGTGGGGTAAACTGGATTAAATTAATTCCTGAACTGGCAAATAGCCCTTTGTTCTATGAGGTTAGTATTCCAGCCCTCCAACAGCAGAGGGCGAGTTGATATGCTAATGTGATTAGTTCACTGCGGCCCCTCACCTTGCACCACAGGCAAATGAAGCTTTGAGAGGCAGCTGGTAGAATATTCTGTTTTGCAGAGCATGAAGCAACAGTGCCATTACTAAACCTGCAGTGATGTGGGCCGGAGGCATAGGAACAGTGACTAGCATTGTGACTGAGTTTCTGCCTCCTGATAGCCATCCTGATGTCCTCTTTTAAGCTGGCACTCCCTTTACTCTCTGCCAGGGCTGAAACTCTCCATTCATTTACACTTCAATACCACCTTTGACCAACTTGCCCTAATAAGGACACATACTTGTTCAACCCTGCCAAATTTGAGGATTAAATACTAAATGCTGGCTGACACAAGGCTAACCTGAGCTATCATTTTGTTGTCAAACAGTTACAAATAAAGACTAAATACTTGTTAAGAACATGATGAATTCTGTTACTTAATTTTTTTAATTAACATTCTAATTTTCAGCGCTATTTATAATGAAGATTGTAGATTGCAAAAAGTGCTCAGAAGTCTAGCTAGAGTTCACCTTCACTGGATTAAGGAAATAGTATTTACATAATAATTTTAACCCTAGAATGTGTTAAATCTGTATTATGTGATTTCTGGGAATTGCACAAACTGTTTGATTTCTCTGTGTTTTTTTCTTGACAACACCCCTTAAAAATGAAAAAGCTCCCATTTATATACAAGTACTCTGTTTTTAAAATATCTCCAATTGTGGCTTATTTCTGTACACTAACACTAACAACTAGCAAGCCATCAATAGAGTGCAGACCTCTAGTGAAGCCTAATAATCTTCCTGGTTAGCTGATACTATCAGTCAACATTGTCCAAGATACATGACAGACGGACACTTACCATATATTAAATAGTCAAAGAGATAACTGACCAAAGAGTTACAAAGAGACAGTCAATGTTTGGCCTCAAGGTTGTGTTAGAAAAGAAAGGTCACCAAAAAATCAATAGGTTTTCTGACTGTAAATGCACACACCCACTACAAACCTCAAACTAAACTGGTCATTAGCTTTCGGTTCACTTGTTGACGAAGATCATTCAATTGCCACTTGATAATTAACATCAATAGAAGGGAGGGAAATGGACACTTTCATGTGACAGCAGGAATTTCTTTCCTTCCCACGTTCCCTCACTCATTTTCTGACCAGCCATCACCTACCTCACGTTCTGCAGTGCGGCCACTGCCAACATGCCGCTGAGCAGTGGCAGTGTGAGGATGTAGGGGTATAGCAGTAGGGTACCAGCCAGACGCTCCAGTGTGTCTAGGGGTAGCAGGCCGAAGGCCTCCTCACACAAATACAGACTGGCATCAAAATCCCTGCAGGGGGGAAGGTGAATGCCGGAGGGGGGGGGGTAAAACAAGAGAAAGGAAAAGATGGACATAAAAGAAATGAAGATGACAGAGGGATGAGGCAAATAACCTACTGGTTAGCAGTTGAAACTTTCAATGAAATCCAATTTTTTGGTTTTGTCTTGTTTTGTATTTGGTGCTTAACAATCATTGCGGTAACGATGTAGTCTATCAATTAATATGTCAAGGACCATCTTTTGGATTTTCTGTTGATAAAGCTTAGGTTTCTGTGGATTGCAATTATGTTAACTACCCAGAACTTCAAATCTGATTTATCTAATCCATACTAACATGTTGATTTTAGGCTAAAATAATAAAGTTAAATTAATCCTCATCCAACTAATTTGGTAATTTGAACGCAGTTTGAGAATTGATTTGTTAATCCTACATGAAGTTAGTTTAATTAACTAATTGTACTTATACTTAACTATAATACTATAATAATATAACTATAATGAAAGGCCCTAGGAGTTGAGATCAGCACTAATTGGATCTGCAATATGGCATTTGCACATATATGAGGTAGGTTTTTAAGGAAGCTCTTAACATAAACTAGGGGAACAGACAAATGGATAATGATTTCATTTGTGTTCCTGAAATGTCACTAGTGTTATTGGGTTCAACCACAACTGTTAAACAATTATTTATTATGAGTAAATACAGAGTACAGGGGCAATATAAGAACAGGGGCAAGAGATTCTTAGTGAATCTAGCCTTGTCCAAGTAAACTTCATGTTTGTTCTCTGCATGGAGCTGTGTGTTGTATTTTGGAAGCTTATCGTGTTTTTTTCAGTACCAAGATTTAGTAACTAGTGAGTACATCTGTCAAATAAATGTAGTGGAGTAAATAGTGCAATAATTGCCTGTTAGATGTAGTAGGGTATAAGTAAGAAGTAATATGGAAAACAAACCCATCCAAAGTACATCAAAAATGTATTTAAGTTGAGTACATGAGTAAATGCACCTTGTTACTTTTAATTGGTAGTATATATATGGGGTTGACATAAAAAGGTCTTAGCCATGATCCTGCTAAATGCCGGTTTGAGGATTTGTTGCTCTAACAACAACAACAACTCAAGATCATTTTTAAGCAGCCTTCTAAATTATCCACCATCAAAGCAAGACAGGTTAGTTATCTAGGTATAAAGAAGAACAACTTCATGAACCAAAGTAAGCTGCAAAAATCTATACAAACGTGAACATTTTGCACATTAGTTATATATATATATATATATATATATTTGTATTTATCTAAATAGAAAATGTTTTAAAAATGAACTAAATGTATTTTCTAAACACGGCATGAATGTACACAATAAACCTCTGTTGTTTTTTGTTTTGAGCATTACAATGGCAATAGTGCTTCTGATAAAAAGAAATCTTAGCAAGTTAGAGACACAGGAACAAGGGCAAAGGTAGAGATAGAGTGTAGAGTAAGCACTGCATTTTCCACAGCCTCCTGAATAATTGAAGGGCCAGTTGTGTGGCGTTGGCTTGTGAGCCGTGTTATCTGCCACCCCGGAGCAGCTATCCACTGGCTGAGCCACTCAACACACACAAAGTACCTGATCGATGGGAGGGCTGCTGGTGTAACCCCACCATCTATTATTCACACACACTAACGCTCCAGGTGCTACAATACTGGTGCTTAGTGAATAACACAGTCACGCTGGATCAAATCAAGAGGTGAGTACGGGTGCAGACTGTGCAGACTTTGTGTATGCACTACTGTGTGTGAGCATGCCCATGTGTCAAAATCTGGTTTGGTGGTGTGAGACTGTGTTTAACAACAGAAGCATGTAAATCTATGTTTGAGTGTGTACATATATGTGTTCATACCTCGTCGGCCCCAGGGCAAACTTTGACTTGATGAATTTAAAGATGTGTTCGTCTGATCTGAGCTGAAGTGCTTTCTGTAAAAACACATACACAAATACACACACACACACACACACACACACACACAGAGATAAGGTCATCTTGTCAAGGCTGAAGATCAGCATTCCGAGATGTATAAATCAGTAAATAAACCAATCTTAGATCATATGGTTACATCATACATAACATTTTTAGATACATGAGGAGGAGAAGGAGAAGAGGAGGGGAGCAGTAAGACAGGAAAGGGGAGAGCAGAGGGAGAGGAGGGGAGGGAGAGCGATGAGAGGTACAGGGAACAAAAAGAGAAAATAAGAATGCAGAGCAGACAGGCAAGGAGATATGGAAAGGTAAGGAGATGGAGATAGGGGAGGAGAGGAGTGAACACACAAGGGGATTGGCAGAAAGGGGAAGGAGAAGATAAGGAAAGGAGGTAAGCAGATAGAATCAGGGAGGAGAGAATGAGAAAGGAAGGATGTGGAAGGGGAGGGAAGAAGAAGAGGAGCACCTTGGCCAGGTAGTTGATGGTGAAGGTGAGGAGGAGAACCATGGCGCTGTGGAGAAGTAGTTTGCCCAGACGAACCAGCAGGTTTCCTGTCTTCAAACCAGACTGCATGATCACACAACAAGAGATCAGGTAATGCAATCTGTTATATTCTCAATGTTACATTTAGAAATTTGACACATAGCTTCATTTGCACACACACTCACAATACTTTCAGATGATAATTACTTTTAAGGAAAGTTTGACTGAGGTGACGCAATGTCACTTTTTTTTTCAATTTCACCAGAGAACATTTGCCAATGTTGTTTTTGTTGATCAATAAAATAGATAGATAGATAGACAGAAAAGGAACACACCAAGGGTTGTAGTGAGGTGCTGTTCAATGGAATGGAAAAAAGGGTTGCACACCATATGCATTTCTCTTTTATTCAGATGATCATGTTTTGGCCCTTCTGCCTTCTTCAATCATAGTAAGACAAAGGCATGTTATACTGGCCACACCCTAGTTTCACATCTTATGGTTATTAGATCATCATGCTCCACCATTAAGGTGAGAAAATTCCCTTCAGGAATTCAGAATTTTTATCAGTGGCAGGAGATAAAGCCAAATCAAATTACTTCAAACTTAATGACCAGGCACATGTCTCATTTCACATTGATTTAAATTATACATACAATTCTTGTAGCTAGAGATGAACACCATAAACAACTTTATCTAAATATCTTATAAACAGAGGTGCAAAACACAAAACACCTCAAGTCATACTCTATATTATGTCCATGAGGTCCATCAGTCCAATAGTGTTCCCTCCTGTCACCTCCTCTCAGCCTCCCAAGAGGTTACTTTGTGGTTTTATTTTCCAGGAGGGAACACTATTCGATTCACCATGATTGCTGCTATTGAAGAAAGCTGGAGGGCTGAAATGTTGTCATCAGAATAAAAGAGAAATGCATATAGACGCAGAGGTGTGCAAGAAAACCATTCTTCCTACTCTTAAGATTATAAAAACACACCAATCCCACTCTTGATATCAGAGTCATTTGTGCAGATGATGCTTCTTTTATCTCACAAAGGATCTTGGCTGAGTACAGACACCAGCTAGCACACTGGCCAGACAGCAGCCAAAAGTTTCATTTTGGCCATTAAAATTAATTAGATACAGATGATATAATATTGCTGTCCAAGACATTTTTAATTTAAACCAGTGAAAGATAAAAATGTGAAGTCTGCTTACCTGATTTTCGCCCTGATGTGATGTGCATTGCTTAACTGTGGTATATGAATAGTTGATATGCTACCCTCTTTTTTCTTATAACATTTTTTAATATTTTGGCCTGAGAGGATATAAAATCACTCCAAGTATATATATATATATGATATTATAGTTATAGTTAGTATAGTACTATATATATATAATAAAAAAAATTAAAAATTCCTGAATTATACATCTGTTTTAAATGAAACATTTCACAAATGATGGCTTTAGTTAACTGTGCCACAAACTATTTAAAGCCAGAATTAAATCTCTCCTCCGATTCTGATTTCTTCAACCCTTCCTCTGTCTTTGTCTCCATTCCACTTCCATCCTGTCACATTAAATGTTTCTGTAATTGTTGCTGGTTAAGATCTGATTTAACTAAATTAAATTTAGACCTGACAGGAAAATGTGTCTGCGCAGTACAAATTGAATTATGTTCTGCAAAAAACTCACTGTAGCACAGCCTCTTCTCAGTCCAACCAAAGTGCACGGGTAATCTTCCACCTGTGTTTGTAAACGAGCTACCACAACTAACGTCTGAATCTTTTTTTGTGAGACTCTATACACACACACACACACACACACACACACACACACGACAACAAAACACAACACAAACACAAACACAAACACCACACATACACACAACACATACACACACACACCACACACACACACCACCACACACACAGACAGACAGGACAGACAGACAGACAGACCAAGACAAGGACGGACAGACAGACAGACAGACCTGGCAGTGTCTGATGAAGAGTGCGGCTACGATGAAGCTCAGGACGAGTGATCCCAGTATCATGGAGTTACAGAACTGGAGGAGCCACACACTCAGCAGACCGCTTACTTGAACAAGGTACAAGGTAGTCACCTAGAGAAACACACAAACAGTGCTGTACACAATCTGGGCAGGTGAAGTATGATGATGTCATCCCGTACAGGAGGTTGAGGTGAGGTTACAGGACTAAAGATACTTATTGCAATAAGTTATGACAGTGTGGTAGTTTGCAGTCACCACAGCTGGACCCATGAAAGGAAGAGGAGTAACTAGACCCCTTCCTTTGTAGAATGTGGGACAGACAAAGATTGGGTGTTGAAATAACATGCCTGAAAGTAACATCTGGTAGGAATCAGTGTAATGTAAGTAAACTAGCCTAACTATTAGGCTACTTTCAAGTGGAATACAATTAGGGTTAAGCAAGTACTTAGCTGAAATGTGTATCTGGCACAGATAATGTACTTCTTACGAGCATCATCACAGTGAAATGTGTAAATAACTGTAAGTACGTTTTCTTTCTCTTGTGCTAAATTCTAAGGCTGTTCTGTAAATATTATTCTAATAAATATAGAAACGTCTGATAAACTAATCTCCATGTCAGGTTTAAATGAACAACTTCTGATCAGTCCTGCCCACTTCCAGTTTAAGCCACCTCCATTACAGTATGATAAGCAATACAAATAAAACTATCTGCTTGGCTAGAGGTAGCCTAAGTAAGGAAATGCTGATTTTTTTGTAATTTGGGTGAACTGACCATGACCACCATTATTAAAGGCATCTATAAAACTGTTAACAAGACAACTCAAACTGCAAATAAGGTCAGTTATTACTCTTTGTATGACAAATGTTTAATCCATGACAGTTATCTTAATTTGTATAACTTTCTCAGATCCTAGAGAAGACTATAGACCGACAGTGGCTACACAGGTAGGGCCACAGGGAGAAGCACTAATGCGATGTGTGGACCAATGCAATGTAGAAATACATCCAGAAGCTAGGAAGCATGGCTTATGTGTGTTATCTGTCAGCAATTTCCATCTAACTGTAAAGGTACCATTTTGGAGTCTGGAATCCAGTTCTTACAATACCATCCACGGGACTGACCCTTCAAGTATCTGGTCCTTCTTGAAGCCATACCTGTGTTGTAGTTAGGAAGTCGACACAGTCCAGGGTGTATATGATAAGAGCCTGAACAAGTAGGATGAACTGGTTGAACTGCCATGTCAGACAGAAACAGAACGTCGTCACGTACATCAACCACACCATCACCTTCTGAGGAGGGAAACACACAAACACACACACACACACACTAGGGTTAGATACTTGACCTGACACTAATGGCATATACTGACTACTTACTCCTGCTGTGCTGTTAGCTCTTTTAGAGATGGTTGGCAATTGAGCAGCTGTGTTGCATGTGCAAAGTCAAGCTCAACCAATGTGTGCTGAGGACGGTCAGTAGCTTTGATTTAGAGTGTGTGTGTGTGTGTG